ATTATTTTTACTTAGTATGCTCCACATTCAAGACATCTGCACAAGAGCTATCAGCTATTTATGTGACCCCCGCACCATGACTGGGCATAAGCTAATTAATTAAATTCATCCTTTATACAGTTAAATACATTTAATGCTATTACATGCACATTTTCCGTTTGAATGTATCAAAAGCACGCGCCAGTTAACCGAAATGATACGGCAACTCTCCCCGATATACGTCAGATAGGGCGATAAACAGATGTTTGTGAAAAAAACAAATTGAACAAATAGTGAAAAGTTAAATGCAAGCGTTATTAACGACCACGTCACATTTTGTCGGCCAAAATGAGGGTTTGGGTAGCTTATAGTGCGGCTGCACTACTTCTCTTCGTGCAAGCGGGCGCGGAAAGCATCAGCGAACAGAACCTGCCCCAAAGCAAGACATCCAGCAACATCACCACGACAGGTAGTAGTAACTCTACCCACATCGCGTCGGACGTCTTAGCCAGCAGTCCGCTGGGAAATATCCCGCCCTCGATTGCTATACCTGGCAATGCAAGCACCACGAGGAAGGGAAACGCGTCCACAGTGGTCACAGAACCGCCTCTCATCGATTCCCATGCGGTCGAGCAGGAGCACAACTCCTCACTCTCATTGTTTTTCGTCATCTGCGTGATCATGTTGGGCATCCTGCTTATCCACTCTATGCTGCAGACCGGCTTCCAGTACCTGCCGGAGAGCATTGTGGTAGTCTTTCTGGGCGCCTTCATTGGCCTTTCGCTGAACGTCATGTCTGGGCAGAATGGGAGTTGGAAACGCGAGGAGGTCTTCTCGCCCATGGGCTTCTTTTTGGTGCTCCTGCCGCCCATTATATTCGAGTCCGGCTACAATCTGCACAAGGGAAACTTCTTTCAGAACATTGGATCCATATTGGTCTTTGCCATATTCGGCACAACGATTTCTGCACTGGTCATCGGAGCGGGGATTTACCTGCTGGGCCTAGCTGAGGTGGCATTTCGGCAAGTTTAAGATAAATCAATGCCCAAGTTCATTTAATGATTACTCCTAATTTTAGACTAAGCTTTTCGGAATCCTTTGCCTTTGGTTCTCTCATCTCTGCTGTTGATCCTGTGGCAACAGTGGCAATTTTCCATGCACTTGACGTAGACCCCATACTCAACATGCTGGTATTCGGCGAGAGCATCCTCAACGACGCCATATCTATTGTGCTAACTGCATCTATTACCCAATCCGCCAACGTAAATGCTGAAGCGAGCACTGGAGAAGCCATGTTCAGCGCGTTGAAGACCTTTTGCGCGATGTTCTTTGCTTCGGCGGGCATCGGAGTCATATTTGCATTAATATCGGCTCTTCTTCTGAAGCACATCGATCTGCGAAAGCATCCATCTCTCGAGTTTGCGATGATGCTAATGTTTACTTATGCACCTTACGTCTTGGCAGAGGGAATACATTTAAGCGGTATATGTATGTTTTTAGCAATGACTCTCAACATTAATTTTTTTTACTAACAATAGGTATTATGGCTATACTATTTTGCGGAATTGTCATGTCCCACTACACGCATTTTAACCTATCCACTGTAAGTCATTGCTATTATCTCACTATTTTATATATTACTAAAACTTTTTTAATCGTAGGTTACTCAAATTACAATGCAGCAGACGATGAGGACACTAGCCTTCATTGCTGAGACTTGCGTCTTTGCTTATCTGGGACTAGCAATATTTTCCTTTAAACACCAAGTTGAACTATCTTTTGTTATATGGGCCATTGTGCTTTGCCTCATTGGTCGCGCGTGCAATATTTTTCCGCTCGCGTTCTTGGTCAACAAATTTCGCGAGCATAAGATCAATAACAAAATGCAGTTCATTATGTGGTTTTCGGGCCTACGCGGAGCCATTTCCTACGCGCTATCTTTGCACTTGAATCTTGACAGCCAGGAGAAACGACACGTCATCATAACAACTACGTAAGCTTATTCCGGCTTGTCAATAGTGCACAGTCATTGTATAAATCAAATTTCAGATTAATCATCGTGCTATTTACCACGCTAGTGCTTGGGGGCTCCACAATGCCACTGCTGAAGTACCTTAAGCCCGGAAAAAAAAGACGCGCTCGCGGATCTGGAAGGAATACCACTGAGGAGGGAGGACGACGCAACGGCAGCGGTCGAAAGCGGTCAAAATCTATTTCCCTGTCAAAAACTCGTGAATGGGGCCAGGCAATCGACTCTGAACACTTGTCGGAACTCACTGAGGAAGAGGACGTTACCTTTACCCAAGCACGCGATCGTTTTGGGCGCATGGATCGCAAGTACTTTATTCCTTTTTTTACGCGTCGATTTAATAGTCAGGAATTGCACGAGTGTAAGTCACAGATGGCCGACCTGACTAACAAGTGGTACCAAGCCATTCGAGTGAGTCCATTGGATTCAGATGAATCGGACGAAGAGATAGGGCTAGCTGCCAGCACAAGTCAAATTCATTTGACACGCTCGTAGAAATTTTTAGGGAACTCTGTATCTGTGTCCGACTGTTTTGGAGAACTTATGAGGCCAAAGGGAACGATCGTATTTAATGCTTAAGTTCCTAAAGTTAATGTTTTTAGAGCTTTTATTTATATAATGCGGTGATGGTTGTTATCTTGTGCATATTTTTCTTGTTTAAAAATTTTCATTTTGAAAGATCCAACTGCAATGATTCATTCGTATCACGGTAGCCCCTTTATTAATCCGCTTTAAGCAGTATTACATTGCACACGGACGATGGTCTTCAAAATGAAAATTTGGACATCACTAAAGCAGACTACGTCAGTAATTTAAGTTTAAAATATTTATTGATACGAATATATGCTGTATTTGTGATTTTGTACATTTTTGAAACCAAATAAATATCTAAGTGTGGAACGTGTAACAAAAAGTGGTCATGCCCTGCTTGTTGAAATCCTAATTTAAAAATACATATCAATTGATAAAATTAACTATTAAAGTAAAATTGACTACAAAAGGTGTGCGTTTTGGTTACTTCTACAATTCTTCGTGCGTGGACTCTTCAACGAGCACCGTGGAGTCTGAATCACTGCGCACTGCAAACGAAGTACAAAAATCGTTAGATGTCTTTGGAAAATGTTAAAAGATAATGCTGTTCAAAACTCTCGTGTATCTAAAAAAAATATGAAAGCAATGTTCACATGGTTTTTTGACTTATAAAGACTTCATGATTAGTTCCTCCAACTGTTTTGTATCTATTTCGGGCTGGTGGCCGCCTTCTGCCTCCGAGTTGATCCAGTACTCGGAAACAGCAATGTACCCTGCAACTGCCGCCCCAACAATGCAACCCCAGGCAATGTGAGTGGAGCTCTGGAAGATGACGCAGGTGGCCACGCACATTCCGAAGTAGGTGAGCATTCGCGTATAGCTTACGTAGTTGCTGCGTTGCTCCGCAGAAATATCTTTAATGATCGGAGGCGCAATACATATAGTGGACAATCCGTTCCTTAAAAGCAAATTCATTCAATTGTAGTTTTACTTACCATGACACTTTCCATCCCTCAGCTCATAGCCATCAGCACACTTTTTGCACATGTCCGGGCCATCACCATCGCAGCCATCGCAGGAGCGATCACACTCCAGGCAACTAAAGGAGCCCTCATTGTTCACGCAGAACTGTTGCGGTCGGCAAGAGTTAGGACGCTGTTGCTCCAAGCACTCATTGATGTCGACACATCCTGCCTCCGAGTCCATGCTCCAACCCTTCTTACACTTGCGGCAGCTCTTGGGACCACCTCCCGTGCAGCCTCCTTCCCCACAGGCCGCATGACACTGTGTACACAGCAATTTCTTTTCGTCACGAAAGGACTCGTAGTGCTCCGGTCCACATTCGTTGCAGTTTGGACCCGCATAGCCGAGATCACATTTGCACTTTCCGTTACCCTTCCTTGTTCCGTCTCCTTTGCATTTTCCTGAAATTTTTCATGTGTCATGAATTAAACGAAAACCGCAACCTTAAGTAAGAATACCCCACAAAGATCTGCCACAGAGGACATACTTATGTAAGTTGGGCTTTCAAAGTTCTTGCACATCATAACTTACCATTTCCGTTGCACTCGGTGCAGGGCAGGCAGTCTGGTCCGTAGGTATTCGCCGGACAGCACACGGTTAGCTGATCGATGCAAAGCCAGGATTGCAGGTCAGGGCTTTGCGTCTGTTTGTGGGTGAACCAGTCCTCGAGAAGCGCCTCGTGCTCGTTAGCCAGGTTGTGGCAGTGATCCTTGTTTATCACTTCTCCCTCTGAGCATAGCTTCTCCTGGATCTCTACCAGCCGCACCTCGCTGTTCTTGTACGAACGCAACTTTTCCTCCTCCCATGCTGTGTCTCCGCCCGCGTGTCCGCGTTTTGTCCTTTCGAGTCCTGCTCGAAAAGAGCCAACAAGCTGAGTACAGGCCCTGCAGGGCGGAGGAACAGGCTTTTCGGGTGAAAATGACGCCGAGGCAGCGGCTATGAATACTAGCGCTGCGAGCCAACAGTCCTTGATTCCCATTATCATTTATTTGTTGCCTCTTTTAGCCGGCGAATTATCCGAGTTTACGTGTAATTGAAGCCGACACTATCGATGAATAAAGACATCGATAGTATACTCGATAGTTTCGCCAATATCGATAGCTCCCGCGATACCATTGCCTCACGGAGCTCGCCCTCAGCTCATCTTGCACCAAAGAGGACCGTTACTCCCATGCGAAACTCGACTGTCATCCAATCTGAGACTAGCGGTCTTGGAATAGTTTCCTTTGCTGGTAAAGGACTATTTGGGGGTTTCGTTTGTTGCAGCCTAAAGCTATTTAGAATTTAGATTTTAGAAAAAAAATTGATTTAGAAAATGTTTGTTCTAAAATCGCTAATTTTTTTGGACGCACCAAACTCTAAATCGAATCTGTGTAAATCAATTTCAATAGTTTCAATTGGCCCTTTTCGTACCTTGAAACAACATTACATTAATTATTTTCGTAAAAGTAAAAAAGTGTAAAATTTATTTCTTTTGCTTTATAATATTTTGCTTAATGTATTAGAGTGTTACGCTGTTTAATTAGCAAGTATAGAGATCTATAAGTTAAGATTAATGTTTTACTTAAAATAATCCGATACGCTAGACATGAAAGACCAAAAGTATTGTTATAATTTGGTTGCAGACTATGTCGTGCAAGGAGTTACCATTTCAAAGGAGTACTTTTGTTGTTGTACGCGTTGGCCCTAAAATTGGATATATTTAGAAAAAGAAATGAAATTAAATTAATATTAAAGGTTATGGTTACTTTTGCCAGCTAAAATGTGATATTGATATAAAGCAGTATTTATTACTCCATCATATGACTATTTTAGAAACCATATATATTTGGCTGGGTTCCAAAAAAAAGGGGATATCTAAGAATCATTTCTCTTTAATTTAGAGTGGTTCGTAGAGGTACAACAAAATAAAGACATGAGAATTTGTATACTTTTATGTACATATATAAAATACAATACATAATAGGCATACACATGTATACAAAATAGAATTGTCCTTTCCACTGTATAAAAATAAAAACTTACTTGACAACGCCATGATTCTGAACTGATGTAAGAGTAATAAAAGGAGTCAATCGTTCAATGAACCGGTCGTTGTTACGTTCCAATTCTCTTTGGTAATCTTTTTGATCTGAAAGTATTAGATTGCGATTCTTTTTCAAAGCATCAGCACAACGTTTTGAAAACTCGCGAAAGCATAACCGAAGTTTGTTTTGGTGCTTTGTCGGTACAGTTGTTCCGTCGGATAAATTGGAAAGGAATACACTGGCCATTTCCATCGGTCCTTGGTTAACAGTCGTTCCAATACATCCCTGGAGCACCATTTGCAATATTTTGGGGTCTGCTGGCTCTTGATTCGTGGCAGCCGCCAACTCCAATGTCTTTTTTTGAATATCCTAGGCAACGAAATTTAATTTTGTGAACTATTGGGATTTTACAACCTAACTTACTTCAATTGCCACTTCAATGGGTTCCAGGACTATTTGCTGTCTGCTAATTACCATAATGCGTGTTTTTACGTAGGGAAAGTGATTCGCCGTGGTCAAGATCGTCTTCCGCTTACACTGCTCATGTAGTTCGCCATGGGCCTTACCATTTTTGGTAAAAGGCGTGGCATATATAAAACGTTCTGCATAATACAAAAATGTTTAAATAATAATTTTAGTTTTCGATTTCAATTAAATTTGTAATTCATCTCATACTTATATTGAAATTCCGTTCAAAGTATGTCTCACGATGACGCATTTCATATGTTTCGAAATAGGGTTCAACATAAGTTATTTGAATGTAAGCCTTATCGGGATCCAAACTATTTACGTCAACTGTATTGGAATCTTTAATGATATGCACAGAGTCCGGTCCGAATCGTTCAGTGTAAAAATTCTAACGCGTGTTTAAAATATATATTAATGCTATTTTTCTTTTTCTAATTTGCAATTTATACCTGTAGTCGACTAAATATTTCGGGCAACTTTGTCAAGGTTGGCTCTTTATAAATGAATTCCTGCTGATCCAAGTCTCCGAATTTTCCGCCGTAGAAGCCAACACGAAAGTATGTTCCAAAAACTCTCTTACCCTGTTTAAAAATATGTATATAGTTTCCGTTGGTAAAAATTACACTATTTAGTTACCTGTAGCTGGGATATTCGATTAAATGCCTCCTGCAATTTGCCATGAACTTTGCTTAGCTTTTGAAAATCTCTGTTAGCCTCGCATATGGGTATTAGAATTTTGTACACTTCGTTCATAGCTTCATACATGCCAGCTACTTGAAAGGAATTGGAGGCTTCTTCCAGCAAGGCCTTTAGCCCAGTTTCAGTGAAATGATTTCCTAGGCAGATACCATCCTCGCCGGGACTTAGCACATCATCAGACACGGCCGACTCCATTAGTGTGTTGGGAGAAATTCGTTGAAAACTTACAGCTCCAACAGGCAAATGCGTTTGTGACTCCAACATGCTAAGATATTCAGAGACTAAAGAAGCAGCATGTACATAGCACATGGCTGCTTCCGTGTGATTGGCCCGCTCGCGGTGTTTTTTAGCCATATTTTCCAGCCAAGTCAGCCGTAGATCAGGGTTATTTTGGTATCCTTTGGCAATACGATTCATGAGGTCAAGCAACATCTCTGGATCTTCTTGATACTCCTTCATTTTTACTGTATCTGACAGTATCATATGCAGGTTAAAAAGCAAATCTTGTACTTGCTCAGGAAAAGATGTCTCCTGCAGGTCGGAGTCGGATTCAGCATAAACTAGCACTGTTTTAAGCGCACGGCGTAAAGATTGCTCACTAAATACCGAACTTGTCCCAACCAGGGAGCTTAAAGACATCGTCACTTGCATCTTAACTCGGGCAAAGTTCTATACGAAAAAATTCCATTAGGCTAGCTATATAAACGTTAACAATAAAACAAAACTTACATTTCCAATTTCGAAATTTTGTCTCATTAGTAAATATAGTGATGCAGCAGCCTGTGATCGTATTCCTGGCAAAAGGGATCCGCAATGTTTTAGCAAAATCAGACACAAATCCGCACATATGTCGGTCTCGTCGTCGAATAATAAATTTGGAAATTTAAAAATTAATGCGCGCTGGGAGGCAAACAAGTTTTGCAGGGCCAAAGTAGATTGATTTCGAGACAAAGAATGCAGAAGCACCTTCAGTACAGTTCCAAGAAGATTATGATACAGGTTGGCAGCAACATGAACAATAATTTCCAGGGTATCGAGCAGTACAAGAGCAACTTCAGTAGCCAAAGAGCCTTCGATAAAATGACTCAATTCAAGTTCATGCTCACTTTTTCCCACTCCATCAGAATATTGTGAGCGATATGGCATCTGGTCTTTCCTCCAGCGGAATTTCTCTGTTGAATTACGATCTTTTCGGCGATTTATTAAATCATAACGTGCTGAATTTGTGCCTCTAATACATTCCTCCAACTTTTCCTTAACATCAGTAGATGCAGTTTTCCTAAAACTTTGTGTATTCGTTCGTTTAAGAGTGGCGACGTTTTTTTGTCCGGTGTACTCGAAAGTTTTCAGGCAAACATTAACACCTTGAAGCATTTGGTGCACTCTATGCGGACTTAAATCCAAAAGCCAGCGGTATAAAACGTTGCGCTCCAAGTTTTTTAGCACCCACAGAAAACACACCAATAAATGGCGAGTATTCTCTGAGCTAAGGGGTAACTTGTTTTTAACCTGTTCATTCAAGTAGGAGTAGGGACGACTTCCCGATATTGCAAATGCCACTTCCGGATTTATGGTTGATGTTGTAATAGTTTGATGTGGTCCTTGATAGTCTTCAAGTTGACCGATTTGCTGCAGACGATCTTGCTCAAGGCCGTGCTGATGCAGCTGAGGAATGGAATCCATCACTATGGAAAGAAGCGGTATGTATAAAGCAGCCACCCTTGCACGCGCATCAGTTTCGCTATACCGAGCGTCCAAATCGTGAGATGTCATTAGGTTGCGAATACACCGAATCGCTTTTCCATGTAATTGGGGGTTTGGCACCTCCATTACTGCTGCCAAATCGCTCAGTACAAGACCGATTAGAAAATGTTGCTGGAGGAATTCTTGACTAAGGTCAGCGTGTAGAGCTCTGTCTAGTGATCCCTTTTAAAAGAAGCCAGAAATTAATACAAATTAATACAAATTGTTTTTTGACTTACGCAAGAAGTTTGGCTGTTGCTCGACGTTGTGCTTGGAGTGGGACTGCAAGGCGCAGTTACCATTGTGTATGAGGTTCCAAACGGCAAGTTTAAAGCAACAAAGTGCTCATGACTACAGACAATTCTTAAGAAGTCTATTTTATAGTTCATTAGATCAGGTATTGAAGCATTCTTAGAAATCAAAACCTTGGTGTACGTTTTGATCAGGCCGAACACAAATCCCCGATCCATGATGCTTAGTATGTCAAATATGAAAAAGCCTAAACTTGCATTTAATGACTGCGCTAATTTAGGTTCGTTACTATGGTAGCCGACAACTTTTGTTGTAACTAAGTGCACCAGGGTGGATAGATCATCATTAAACTGATGAGGAAATCGATGTTTGCGGGGACCGTTCAAAGTATTTGAACAATGCAAATGTTCAATCATAGATTTGACTATAAGCTCAAATAAAAACCACGAATTTGACATGGCTAAGTCTGCTGCCTTTCCACTTGCAACGACCCAATGCAGGGCTAATTCTTCGTGCAGCAGCCTGACTTGGACATCCCGAGCAGCCATCGATTGAAGGATATCTATGGATATTTCTAAAAGAGAATACGTTAAGCCTTACAAGTATTTAAGCCTTTACAAATTATATGTTTACCTTTGCGATCCAAACTTCGGCCACTTGCTAGCACATTATCATATAGGGTGTACGATTCGCTTAATTGCAAGTCCTCTGTTGTGCTGCGACTGCATGTTAGTCGCTGTTTGCTTTGAAATGGGTGCGGAATTTTACATTGAAATTGCACATATGTTGATAGCAAACTTTGCCGTCCGTATTGGTCATATTGATCGTCATTAAGTATTGACAACAAAGATGATACTAAGCAAAGAACTTCGAAAACCGTAGATCCCAGAGACATTGCTTGTCCACTAACTTTGTGGGTCACTACCAGCAATTCAATAAGCTTATCCAAGACTAATGGTAGATGCCTCACTAATGGCTCACGATTTGCATATTCGATATCCAGCAAGCATTTCTTTAATTCTGTCTCTATATTATTTTCACCAATGTGGGAAGGTATATTTCGAGTGTCTAGATATTCGCAAATTAAGAAGAATCGATCAAGGAAGGAATCCAAAGTATGAATTGCGGTCACTGCTTCTACATTAATTGAAAACACAGCTCTGTGATTGTCCAGCCATTTAATTCCAGGCAGATGAACATTCGGTGGTATAAAAGAGTAATTTTCCGGTGGTGATTCTACCATAACAGGAAGATTAAATTCTCCAAATTTAAGTTTTCCATCTTCCAGTAAGGGCAACCATGTGTAGCCGATAGGGGTCTCTACTGACGGCTGCAAATCCTGCGGTTTCTTTTGACATGAAACGTGGTAAATGGTAAACAATAAATGGTGATGCTGTTTTATTGATGCAGGCAGGGCTATTTTTATTTCATCGTAGAAAGATGGGCATTTGTTATGATAATTGACCGCCGTAAATGCTTCAGTAGAAAATTTTGGACAAGACGACTTGCCGTAGATGGCATTGACCGCATCTTTTGGGGTTTCTCCAGCCATTAGTTGTACGCGAACGGCAATGTTTCGAGCAGATCCTGCACGCGAGGAGAAATTTAGCTCCTTTGGTGACACAAAGAGCAGATTGCGATAGGTATAATGTGGGTTGTAAATTGCCGATTGCGGAAATTCTAAAATTTCTTTAACTGGGCGAACGTTATCCGCACTTTGAGGGTTAATACTGGCCAACTCTGGAGTTAAGGCATTCTTGGCTTCCTCGACGCATGGTGATATTTCTAATTTAATAGAACCTGGTATGCATTTGTACTTCTTCATAACTGAACCCGGTCTTTTTAGCTCTGGTAAAATTTTGTACAAATCCTCGTCTTTCATTTTATCTGGCTCTTGTTTGAAGAAGCTTGGTACTGTTATAGTGATAGGACGAAAGTTTTCTACCACGTTTGCAAAGTCATCTGGAGACCAGGATCGGTGCTTCTCCTTTCGTTCAAGCGAACCGCGTCGGGTTAGTGTTCCGCTCATATCGTTCGCCTTTCGCCTTAGTTGATCAAAGCTACTTGTGGAAGACTTACGATCTAAGCTATTGGAGCTTGCCGCTGTACCCAAGCTGCTGCCCGTACCACTTCCGAAAGAATCCCGCTCCGCGGCGCCAGCGTCTTTGCTTTCAAAGTTATCGCCATTAAAAACATTTGTGAGGTAGATTCCTGTCCATGCAAACGGCATTCGGTACTTGCCTAGTCGCTCACAGTAGTCTACCGCGTTGGATTTTACTTTCTCTCGGTATTTATCTTTGTCTTCCTTGAGATACGGCTCGACAGAATTGTTTATGTCACCCTGCAAAACTTTTTCCAGACGAATCACGAGAAACAAATCATTACTCGGATATGAAATTTCAAATATGGCTGAGTGGCTCTGGGTACTTATGTCTGCGCACTGCACATGACTTGACAACATGCGTTTAAGACTATCTGCGTTCATGTCAAAATAGAAATTTTCTGAAATTTTTTGCCGTTCTTTAGCATCATAGATGGCCATCGATGCAAAAATTGGTTCTACTTCCAGCTCAAGCCGAAGCTGTAGGCATTTAACCTGAATGCGATGACCCATATGTTCAACAGGAATCTCCGCGAGCAGGCGGCGTTCAATGCATTCCTCCGCTTCAGATTCCGGATACAGTGAGAAAAGAGCCATTTGTCGATCTTGCTGCCGGCGTGCTTCATTGGACTGATCAATATGCTCCGGAGGTACATTGTCAAGCAAATTGGGTATTAGTGGGTCATTAACCGAGCGTCGAAGATCAAAGCTAGCCCAAGAACCACGCGGTGTCAAAGTGTCCGTACAAGAGCTAACTGAAGCCAAACTTGCAATGGATTGCCGAGAACTTGGAGTGCAGCTTTCGCTTTTATAGGCGAATGCTTCTTCAAATGACGAAAAATCCTTGTCGATCTCGAATTCCTGCTGGTACGCGGAGGGACTTATGGTTCCGCGGTCGATACGCTCGCGGATATAGCAAGAGCTGGAAAGGTGCCGCTGTGCATATTCCACCACCTTCCATGGGCGCGTATAGCAGTTCACACATTCTTGTACGTGATGGGGCAAATCAGACCTAAAAGAGACTGTAGCTAACTGCTGTATAAGTTAGGTGCATACATACAAATTCTCGTTGGGAATAACGTGATCAACAGTTCGGATTTTTCGGGGAATGATTTTTACAGTTACATCTCCTTGAGGAAAGTCCAGTATTTGTTTCAAGGGGTCCCGGTTGATAATGTTCATATGCTGCGAAAGAAATTCTTCGTAATCAAGAGGCTCTGTCGGGGACACCTATGAAAAAAATCGAATCCTTGAAAGAGGAATGGTTTATTTCAACTTTAAATGCTCTTACCGACGAACCACACAGTGACGAGTCTATTGCCTTTGATAAATGGCAACCAGAAACATTTTTTCGTACATCCGCAGCCGACTGCCTAGGGTTTTACAAATTGATGTACATATGCACGAATTAAGGGCGTTTCTTTGTTATAAAAACAATTGCATTTAGTTAAGAACTTACTTTGAAACTTTTTGCACAAACGAGCGCTGGGCATTCGACATTTTGGAATATTCGTATGTTACAGTGGTCTAATTCGTTTCTTATTTATTTTATGACAAAAAAGAACATAATTTTGTATTGTTTTACTCGCAGCGCCGTCGATAACCGTACTCATCGATTAATCTTGAAATGCTAGAGATGGCCTGGTCGCCCGTATAGATGAACTGGTTTCAATTCCGATATGTTTCAGCCGCATAAAAATGTAATAGTAATGCTATTTTTTGAAAATTACTTTGGCGCCCACTAACCGAGAAGATCGACTTTGGCGTTGAAGCTGGTTTTTTAATAAAATAAAGTAATTTTTCATGCGGATCAAATTTTTGTTTATATTTAATTTAATATGATCTATGTACTATGGCCCTAGATATGTTATTTTAGACTTTGATTACACTTTTCGCAGGTGTAAACTGTTTTTTGTTTTGTGATGGACTTGCTTAACTTTCATAAAATATTCTTTATCTAATAGTGGATTATTATGATCGTACTATTTACGATCTCATCATGCATATGGCGGCTTATTTCGATTTTATTTTGTTTCCGGCCGAACAACATGTGCCACAAGTTTTCACTTTCACCCACGAGCAACAGCTGCAGTGACTTTGGCGAGTTTTTTTTAGATTAAGAGCAAGCCACCACATTCCGACCGCCTTAGGATGCGCTATGTTTTTACGAGCTGCATACCACATGCATGGAAGGGGCTTGTTTGTCAGTGGGAGGCTGTTCAGATTTTGACGGCGGTAAAATAGGAGATGGCGTTAAATAGCTCTAGATTTCAGTATTTTTGAATATCAGCCTAACAAAGGTTCACTTTGGGCCGACATATAAAACCATTTCAGTTAAGAGTGCCACAAATTAAATAATCTGTCCCACGAAATTGTCCCATTACTAATATAAATGGTAGTGGCGAAATTGTTAATGAATTCTTTAAGCTCATATACTGCAAAGTACTTGCGTTTCATCCATTTTTACAATGAATTCTCATGCACTGAACAAACAAATTGCAAGGCTTTACAGTCATTACTTATGTAAATTATATTTTAATTTATTATCAATGAAAATCATCGATCTCATAAAATAATTTCTTTACCAACTTAAATTGAATTATTTACATACATATGAAAGTATAGATTCTAATATGTTTGTTTTTTAATTTAAAAGAAAGATAATTATTATCCTGTTTTGCATACTACTTGTTATGTTGAAAAATCGAATGACATTTTTCTGAAGTGTACTGCTCTTCGGTTCTGACCTCATCTGTTCCAACGACAAATTATGACGAACTGTGTGCAATTATTTCCATCCTAATATACATATACGCTCGTACACAGAAGTGCTTTCCCCATAATGGCCAGCTGCGTTGTCGCCAGATTTGTTTATGTGCATTTTACCCCAGGGTTGCGCCTTATTGACCGTTAACGTCTTGGGGCATTTAGAGCCATCACATAAATATGGACTCGGGTATTGCAGCGGTTTTATGCAGCGTATTATGCCACCTTAATCCCATTCGTGGAGATAATCAATTAATTTATAAAGATTTAAAATTATTTTAAAAATAAACAAATGATAAAATACAGTTTCAATAGAACCATTTGCAGCTGCATCACAAAGTTATGTCCCCACAGGCGACGCCGTCTGGGACGCCACCGCTCCTTCGTTTTGAACTTTTGTGCCAGAAACTAAAGACACTTGAGCGACAGATGCCACCATCGCCATACAAACGTTGCCAAAAAGAATCCGCCGCCGGGTACAAAGTACAATTAATGACATTCTGACAAGATGTTGTATAGAGCCTCACGCCGAGATCGCCACTCACTTATATACATATGTACATATATAAGTATTTTATAAATACGTCCCCGAACATCTTAATGAATCGGTCCGCAGAGCAGCGCCAAAATGCTATTCTAATTGTCTACATATTTTTCATGGCTGGCGCCAAGTTTCTTCATTTGCGGAGTGGTATTATCTTGTTAAACGCTATGTGCAATAAGGTAGAACCTTTTTTCGCCCTACGTTCGATTACTACGTATATTAAATCGATCTAGTCAAATTCAACGGCGTTTTTGGAACTACATACATTTGTATATTAAGAGCATAAAAGGCCAGGTTAGATTTAAATTCACACTGCAAAGTAAACATTGCAGAAATGTGTTAATTTAATTATAAGTTACTATTTATATTCAACGCTTTGTACTATTTTTAGTATACATATACGAATAAAACCGTATAAATTAACTGTCTAGCACCTTTCGAGGTGTGGAGTTTTTGATTATTTTTAGCGATCCAGACAGTGTGATACATTTGTTAAGATAAATTGTGTGCACTTGTTTTCATAGACGTAAATAGTGTACAATAAGCAAAACCGCTCTGTATGTTGCTTGAAGTCCATAAGGTCAGAAACGTGATAAGGACCATTGGTGGAAACTACTACTTTTCGTCATGTCTAAGTTTATGTATATATAATATTTATGCATCTGCATGTGTATCAGCTACATTCTCGTCAATAATTTGTCCACTTAATTTTCGTAGAAATTTACATCCAGTCGTCAGGGTCGTTTTACCTGCGGCTCTTACTGGGCTCCACTGAATGAGCCACTCTCGAAAAGCACCTGAGAAGCCCAACCGCACGATGCAGTTATTAGTTTAGGCAGGACAAAAACGATCAACAGGCGATGACCGCCAGCACATCATCAGCAGTAGTGGCAGTTGGTCTGCGCCTTGCGATGACAAGGTGTATACGGACCACTGAAAATACAGACAGCGCTGGGAATAAAGGTGCCGGTATTTGTGCCGCGTTTATGCGGGAAATATCGAAAACACTGGCCTAATGGAATTGCCATCGTTTAAAACAAACTACCAAGGATTCGCTAAATAAGTAGGGCGACAAGGACTCCAATCGCAGGACTGTTATTTGAAAATGGCTGCCAGCCAGCCACACACATTTAAAGTGAGTACAATGATAAGTATTACGACTTAGGATACTCGTGGTTATTCGGACGCATGGACACAGCAACAGATGCTTCGGCACGCAAATGAAGAATTCAAACCAGTTGCTTCGACGTGGACAAGTAGAAGTTGCGAATACGCCAACATTGGCAAATGAGTGACCAATAGCCCGTGACCATGTCGCACTGTATGGCATGGCATGTGTCAGCATGGACGTACTGATAGGGAGCTATGAGGCCGAGTGTGCCTTCTCCTGGTGAAATGTTTCCGGCTACGCTCATGCGTGTCAACGTCAAGGCGCGACCACGGCATGCATCTGCATCTGGTCGGTCGGAAACCGTACACCACCACCACCACCACCAACATCGATGGCAATGGACCTGTGCCGTCCCGTTGGCTGCTATACTTATTTACATTACGTTTATGACACTGCAATCGCACAGCCGAGGCCACGGCAACCAGCTGTGCGTCTGGCGCCAGCCAAAAATTAACCAAATCGTCTTCTGTCTGGTCCTTTGTGTGTTGACTGCAACTATGAAATGTTCAATATAACAAAAGACAAGTGCACAAAACAGTTTTATGACAAGGATATTTAACAGTACCCACTTGCAAATGGGCAACAGCAGTCAGTGCCTGTGAGGGCCAAATCGCAGACAGGTACCGTAAATCCGGAAGATGTCAAAACGTTGCCTTGCATGGGCTTCAGCGCTACCGACATGTGCATTAGCCAATTTAAACGAGCCAAAATTGTAATCGCCTTGCTATTCAATGCATCGCTTTCCGTTTCGAGTCGAGTATTCAAGACGGTCAGAAAGCGATTCTCCAAAGTATCCGCGGAACTCAGCGTGAGTTTCACAGACGACAAATTCAAGAGTGGTACGAGTGCTCGCAAACTCAAAGCGCATGCACAAGCGCGTATAAATAGACACTTTTGAGGTGCATGACATACCCACATGCCAAGACATTCTATTAGGTAACCCATTCCACTCCGCCGCCTCGTTTCGGGACTGCCGCCCATTGGTAACTTATGCTCAAAGCGATCTCGACTTCCATATTAACAATTTTCTGCTGCCGCCGCATCCACGTCCGTATTAACAATTTTGTGCTGCTGCTTGTTGCCCCTGTGTGATTCTCCTGCCCAGTATTCGTATTTTTGGGGCTTGGGGCGAACGGTGGCAATCATTGCAGATACGGTCAACGAGAAGGCCAGTGCTTTGCTAACATTTTTGCAGATGCGCTTGCGGGTGTTTTGCGTACAAGAAGCGTGGGAATTGCTGTGGGGTCTGATGATGTCTGGACTCATTAATATGCTCGTTCTTTTTTCTTCTTTTCTTGCGTGCAAAGGCCTGCATTGTCCGGGTTGTCTGCGTTGTGTTTGGCAGGCAGTCCTGATTTTGTAGATTTTGACATTAATAACGTACTTCTTAGCGTCTAATTTTATATCGTGGGCATGATTTCTGACACGCATGTTATTTGTGCTGCTGCATAGTTTGGCTTGCGGCTGTCACGTTTTCAAAAAATAAGTGGTATACGTTGGACCTTAAAACCCTTGGCTTTTTAGATTGCATAGGGCACAGTTACAATTCTCTCGCTTCTGGACAGATGTCTTCCCCTACAACAATTTTCATAACACATTCCCACGCAAATGAAAAGACATCTTGTCGCCATTCTCGGCACTGTGTGCAAGTTTCACACATCTTGAATTTAAGGATATGTCTGTTTTTCCTATCCTTCTGGTCAGCATATGTGCCATTAGCCGCCGACGGCGCCGATTCCATGAAAAACTGCAAATTGGGTGACGCCGGCAAAGGTCACAAGGCACAGAAAATAAAGCATGAGTGCAGCTAAAAAACGCCTCTGACCGAAAACCCATGTGTTGGCACTAACAGACCGAGTGTCTTATCCGGCGTTGTAAGCCAGGAGGGATTTCCATGTGTTCCAGATTCGGATCTGAACTTCTTTCCGCAAATATTTTTTTAGGTTAAGTTATTCAAGTTAAGTCGGCTACTGCTAGAAATCCTTCACCAAACGCACTTCAGAATATTTTTTTTTAGGGCCTGTTATTTGATGGAGGAGGATCTGAGTAAGCATTTTAAAAATGTGGTAAGCAGATTGGCGGTAATTTATAAATGTACATACAATATCTTGCTGTGTTATTAGACACATTCTTTGAAATTTGTTTTCTTCTGTTACCGATTTAAGCCTTTAAATTTCGGTTAAGTAAATTT